AATTTTGTGAACTTTGTGAACTTCCATGGGAAGTATGGGGAACTGAAGAAAACCTCGACAAAGACCAAGGTACTGGGGAATAGAGGACAGAAGATAAGGAGAGGATGGGAGATTGCCCACATCTGCTGTGGATGGTACTTCTTATTTGGAGATTGCAGAACAATAGTTTCCCATAGATTTAAGCACTGGGAGACAGAAGAATTAACCGTTTTGCTTACAGGTCTGGCAGACCCTTTTAAAGGACACCTCACTTTCTAACTAGTTTTGTAAATTGCCTATTTAACCATCTTAAAGCTATTAGAGACCTTTGGTACAACAAGTTTGAAAAGTCATCAGTTTTATCTTCAATCAATCAATCAATCAGAATAGAGCTGGAAAGGACCTTGGACACCCTATAACAGGGGTAGGCAACCTCGACTCTTTTATGACTCATGGACTTCAACTTCCTGAGTCAACATACCTATGCTGACTCAGGAATTCTGGGAGTTGAAGTCCATGAATCATAAAAGAGCCAAAGTTGCATACCCCTGCCCTATACCATTTCAGACAAGCGACTGTCCAGTCTCTTCTTAAAACCTCCAGTAACGAAGCACCTACAACTTCTGAAGGCAAGTTATTCCACTGGTTAATTGTCCACTGTTAGGAAGTTTCTCCTTAGTTGTTTCTCTCCTTGATTAGTTTCCATCCATTGTTTCTTGTCTTGCCTTCTGGTGCTTCTGGAAAATAAGTTGACCCCCTCCTCCTCCTCATGGCAGCCTCTCAAATACTGGAATACTGATATCATGTCCCCACCAGTCCTTCCATTCTCTAGACTAGTCAAACTCAAATCCTGCAACCATTCTTCATATGTTTTAATTTCCAGGCCTTTAATCATCTTAGTTGCTCTTCTTTGCACTTTTTCCAAAGTTTCAATATCTTTTTTTGTAATGTGGTGACCAAAAATGGATGCAGTATTCCAGGTGTGGTTTTACTAAGGCTTTATAAAATGGTACTAATACTTCACATGATTTTGATTCTGTCTCTGTTTAGACAACCAAGGATTGTATTAGCTTTTTTGGCTGCTGCCGCAAACTGCTGACTTATATTTAAGTGATTGTCCACTAGGACTCCAAGATCCTTCTCACAGTTACTGTTTTTGAGCCATATTTCGCCTAATCTGTACTTGTACCTTTGGTTTTTCTTGCCTGTGTAAAACCTTGCTTTTCTCCACATTAAATTTCATGTTGTTGGATAGGGCCCATTTGTGATCACGCAGGGCACAAAGGCAAAACAGCACAAGGCAAAACAGTCAATTGGCAGTTCAAACCGCCCTTTATTTGCTCCAATTTTCCCCAAAAGCTCCCACTGCAAGCCACAGAACAAAGTAACACACACGCACCTTCAGCAGCCTCTGGCTGCAAGTAGTTTCACAAGTTTTTAACTCTTCATGCAAGGAAAGTGTGTGTATGGAACAAGCCAGTCCTCCTTCAGGTTTGGACACACAGAGTTAGATTAGAAGAGTAATTTATTCAAGGCCACGTAGATAACAAGGAAAGAAACATACATCCAAAATCTAACCAGTCTGTGGAAATACAAGCTTGCCTGAGCAGTTTCAGAAGAGAAGCCAAAATTCAGTCCGAGGTCTTTGAACACTAAATCAAGTTTGTCAGCCAGTCCAATGGTCAAAGTTTCAGGGTTTCCAAGCAGAAATCACAACACAGAACAAGAGGTCAGAGAGTTGTTTCCAAGATCAGCAACGGCACACAAAACTCCAAGCATTCAACATTTGTTCCCGACAAATGCCCCTCCCCACAGCATCTCCTTAAATCTCAGTCTCCAAGTGTGCTTTGTGGAGAGGGGCAGGGAGCTCTCCTCCCGAGTAGTTGAGTCTGCCTGCGTTGTTCCCTCCTTCTCTCTATTCTCCATGTTCTAGGATCAGGAGGGGATGGCCCTTGCTCATCACCTGAGTGTCTCTCATGTTCATCCTGTCCCAATCCTGAAAGGCCCTGACCTGCCTCAGCCTGCTCTTCCCCACATTCCTCTGAAGCCACAGACACCCCTCCCTCGACCTCAATCGGCTCTGGTTCCAGCTCATTTTCCTCAGCAGATTTAGTCTCCAGTGGGAGCATGACACCATTGTTCAAGTCTGTCAAGATCTTTTTGGATCTTGAGCTTGTCTTCTGGGTTGTTGGCTATTCCTGCCAGTTTAGTGTCATTGCAAATTTCATGAAATCCCCTTCTATTCCCTCATCTAAATCATTCATGAAGATATTGAAGAGTACTGGGCCTAAGACAGAACCTTGTGGTACCCCGCTGCTTGCTTCCCTCCTTTTAGGCATAGTACCATTAAGGACTACTCATTGAGTATGGCTTGTCAGCCAATTACAAATCCATCTGGTGGTGCTGCTGTCTTTCCCACATTTTTCTAGCTTACCAAGAAGTAGGTTGTGGTCTTCTTTGTCAAATGCCTTGCTGAAGTTTAAGTATACTATGTCTACAGCATTTTGCTGATCTACTAATTTAGTCATTTTATCAAAGAATGATTATAAGATAGGTTTGGCATGATCTATTTTTAACAAACCCATGCTGGCTTTTAGTTATAATTTTATTTGTTTCTAGATATTCGCAGATCTGTTTTTTGATTATCTTTTCCAGTATCTTCCCAGGTATTGATGTTAGGATGATTGGTCTGTAGTTTCCTTTTTTGAAGATGGGAACCACATCAGCTCTTTTCCAATCCTCAGGTAATTCCCTGATGTTCCAAGATTTTTGAAAGATATGGTACAATGGTTCTGAGATGACATCTGCCAACTCCTTTAGAACTCTGGGATATAAAGCATCAGGTCTCAATGATTTATATTTGTCAAGATCAGATAGGTATTCTCTAACCATTTTCTTGCTTATTTTAATTTTTATTTCTAGTCTGTCTTTTATAGTTAGGTTTTTGTTAGGTTGGGCTATAGTTTCTTTTTGCGTGAAGACTGATGCAAAGAATGAGTTAAGCAACTCTGCTTTCTCTCTACTGCCTGTTACTTCCTTGCCATTGTCTGTCTTAAGTGGACCTACTGTTTCCTTGACTTTTTTCTTGTTATTTATATCTTTAAAGAAACTTCTTTATTATTATTTTTGACTTTTGTTGCAAGTCTTTGTTCATTCTGAGCCTTAGCTTTCCTGATCATCTTTGCAGATTCGGGCTATATGGTGATATTCTGCCTTAATTTTGTCTCCCTCTTTCCATTTTTGTACTCGTCACTTTTATCTTTCAGTTTATCAGACAGATCTTTGTGCAACCATGCTGGTTTTTCCTTGGTTTTCTTGGTTTTCTTTTTCAATGATATTGTGCTGGATTTTATGATCATATTTTTCAGAGTTTCCCATCACTTCTTGAGTTGTTTTCCTTTTCAGGATTTTCATCCATGAAATTTTTCTTAGGCTCTCTCTTAGTTTGTTAAAATTAGCTCTTGTAAAGTTTAAGATACTGGCTGTTTTATGTTCTATTGCTTGTGTTTGCATTATATTGAATTTCAATATGACGTGGTTACTCTCACCCAAAATTCTAGCAATTTCAACTACTTCTCTATTAGTAAGAAGTAGGTCTAGTATAGATTTTCCTCTAGTTCCCTCCTCTATCTTTTGGATGACAGAGTTGTCAGCTAGGTTGGTTAGGAATCTATTTGATCTCCCACTTGTTGCAGAGTTTGTCTCCCACTTGATATCAGGGTAGTTAAAGTCTCCGATTATTGCTGTGGTATATTTCCTCTATACATTCAACTCGGAATGAAAAAAAATGATTATAAGTTTAAGAATGTAAAGAATTTGAGATAAACAGTGAAAAGCTAAATAAATGTTTTTTGATCTAAGAAATCTATAACTGGATTAATGGTGCAGATAAATATTGACTTTTACTCAGTGTTTGGAATTAACTAAAAATAGTTTCTTATGGGAAACGGGCTTATTTTGGCTATCCTGGCTATTGTAAGTCATAACAAAGATAAGTTATTTTATGATTTTAGAAACTGAACACTAGAGGGGACTAAAGATTCTAAGCAGAAGAGAAAAAAAATGCAAGCCTGTTCTTGATGTCAGTTAATACTGGGACTTACAAAATGGTAAAAAATATTATGAGAAATGTAAAAGGAAATCTTTAAAGAATGGAACCAGAAATTAGTAACTACAATATCAATAGTCAGTAATGTCTGCTTCTGTGGATAGACTATGTCCAAAATATATTAATGAAGAATTGACAGATGTGAAACAAATTTTGTCTGAAAAGACAGAGAAAGTACAGAGTGTAGAACTATAAATCACAAGAATGATTTGGAAAAGGACCCTTTACTAGATACATAAAAGAAACTGGCTGAAATTTTAAAAACTAAATGGAAATACAGACTAAGTCAGCCTCTAAGTGTTCTCTTATTGGATTTACAAAAGAGGCTTGCTTCATCCTTGAAGAAATCTGCAATGGGATAAAGAAGATTAACGATAAATTAAATCCCACGACAATATTTGATTGAATTAAAGATTAAGATTCTTAGAACTAAAGGAAAGAAATAAAATTGATGTATTTAATCAAGATTAAAATAACACATTGTTTTGCACAGTTGCGTGGAATTTTTGTTGATACCAGGATGGAAAAATTGATGCTTTATGGATCTGCTTATTAAATTTTCAATTAATTAATAACAGATGTTTAATAATTTATGTGTAATCTTGTAAGGGTGAAGAGTTACTAAATTTGTTTATATATGTGATGAAACCTAGAAGTCATTTTAATGTATTTTCTTTTATTATATTTCTTTTTTTCTTCATCTTTTTACTGCACTTTTTATTCCTTTTTCTATTCTTTTCTCTGCTACTTATTTTTTTTGTGCCGTTCGAGTTTAGTTGTAGTCATATTTACTATTGTAATAAAAATTCTTATTTAAAATTACATTTAAAAAAAGAAATGACACTTTGCATGTTTTTCAGAACATTTTTACAGAGAAATTTTAAAGCTTTGATTTTGTTTTCTTTGCTTAAAGGTTCTGCTGGAGCCAGGAGTGATTCAGGATGTGCTTGCTGCAGGTAGCCATCTCCAGCTGCTGGAAATGCTTAGTTTATGTTCACACTATCTTATCCAGGTAAGGATAATAACATGGATATTTTTCTTTGTTTTTCTGGGCTCAGTTCAAATGCTATATAGGGATGAATGTCAAAGTACAGTACTTGTAGCTCAATGTGATAATTAGCATGAATTAGCATGGATTTGTCAAAGACAAATCTTGCTAAACTAAGATTTAATAGATAATGAGCAAGATATATTCTTTAATAATAGATTTAGTAGATTATGAGTAAGATATATCTTTACCTCAGTAAGCCATTTGACAAAGTTGTAATTGGTAACAATTAAGTGTGGGCTTGTTGGTATGATAATGAAGATACTCTGCCTTGAAAATGGTGCTCAAAAACTGTTCATTCAAATTTCCTCGTCCAACTAAATGAAACATCAGATAAGGTCCCACAAGATTTAGTCCTTTACTTGTAGTCCTTTACTTGTATTCTTTAGCTATGTATGTATGTATGTATGTATGTATGTATGTATGTATGTATGTATGTATATTGATGGTTGGAGGAAATACCAAATCGAAACATGAAATTTGGGCGAAATAGCTAATACGCTAGAAGGGAGAATTAAATTCAAATACCCTAGAAGACAGCAATAAAATTCAAATCTGTCTTGATAGGCTAAAGAAAGAGGCTGAAGAACAACATGACATTTAACAATTTAGTTATTCTTAATTAAAGGTATTTCCTATAATAAATACTGACTTTCATTAGCCCTACAACTTGAAATGAAAAGCATTCACAATTAAGTTCTTTTTGTTAAGCTACAGTGGTGGTGATGCATTCAGCCTTACCTAATCCATTTTTTAAAAATTTCATTATTAGCACGTTAGTACAATTTCCTGCTCCATGCAGAGATCCAAATTAAATGATTCACAATAAATGAAAAAAAAAAGCCTCTCAAGGAATTTTTACAACTATTGCTCGTAATGTTTTGATTTTTTCCTTAATATTAAACCATAATAGGTTTCATAAAACTTAAATAGATTGTTGACATAGTTGATGCAGAACATATTTCTTCATCTTTTTAGGCACTTATAGAAGAGTTATCATAATTCATCCATCACCACTATCAATTCTGTTCTAACATTCAGAGATCTTTTAATTTCTTTTATAGGATTTATTTTCAACTCTTCTAATCATACACATTGTTCTACCTGGCCTAAATCCTCTTTAAAGAGTGGTGGTCTCAGGTGGACAAAATACTTAATGTGCAGTATGACCACTGAAAAATAAAACATGAAAAATAAAAAATAAAACATAATACTTTTATTTGGTAACTATACTGTTAAAATTTGGCCTAAAATCGATCGATGTATTTTATATCCATAATACCTTTCTGATTTAAGGTCAGTTAATAATTACTTTTCGAATATCTTTTTAACAAATACCCTAGAATACCCTTTTAACAAGATATATATATATATATATATATATATATTCAATAATACTGGTAAAAATGCGACTCCCGGGCACAATTATAAATAAAACAAATAAAACATGATCGCCGGGAGGGTTTGAAGTAAGAATACTTTACTAAAAATATACTATACTTATGCTAAAATGTTGCCAAGCTTTCGTTAGGGGAAACTCCCCAACATCGTCAGGGCTAAAGAGGCCGCTTCAACAAGGGTGGTTTAAGTGGGTTCAAGTAACGTCTGCGCACGGCTCTTAGACCACGTCACTGGCCCTGATTGACCAGCTGATGATCGAAATATGTCCGTAACGTTTCGTTCTTTTCTTCGAATTCCCTTCCCTATCCTTCCGCTGTTAGTTTCCGGAGGCGTTAGTGACCTTGCACCTCCTCCTGTTCCGATGGTGCCGATACCCATCATATCGGGGGGAGGATTCAATCTAATGTTTTCCTGTGTCTTATTACGGGGATGGGGGTCCGCTAACTGTGGGTTAATGTCCCTTTCTGATTGTGTACTTCTCTCCTCTTCCGCCATATCAACAGTTCTTATCTGGGTATAATGTATTTCAACGTCCGTGTCTTTATCCCCCACTCCAGTCTTCCTTGTGTCCGTTCCCTCTTGTTGTTTGACATTCAGATCGGATCCTTCCCATTCCTGTCGGAGGGGGTTCATTAGTATTTGGGCATGTTCTCCGCTCCTATTACTTTCCCTTTTGCTAATCGAGCGGGTTGTCATTCTATGTTTTTTCTCCCCTCTCCATTTGGGATGCTCCTCCTCATTGTTATGGGCGATCGCAAGCCCCAGGATTTTGTCATTGGGTCTTTTGGGTGTTCCGGCTCCACTGCTGTTGCTCCTTCCCTCATGGGGGGATGTGAGCTTCACATGATATTGTTGGGAGGTATGTAGATCGTCCATACCGGGAGCCCTCCCCCTTTCTTCCTCTGTACGTGGGGGGTCCGCAGTTCGTGTTCGCGCATCCGCATGCTGCGGTGGGAAATTCTCTCGCCGCACGAGCCGGTGCTGGTCACATGGTGGGGGAGTGTTGATGATGTAGTTACTCACGCCCGTAGGCATTACGGACAAGGAACCGCACCCCCTTACTGTCAAGAACGTTTGCATGAGGAGGAGCGTCCCAAATGGAGAGGGGAGAAAAAACATAGAATGACAACCCGCTCGATTAGCAAAAGGGAAAGTAATAGGAGCGGAGAACATGCCCAAATACTAATGAACCCCGTCCGACAGGAATGGGAAGGATCTGGTCTGAATGTCAAACAATGAGAGGGAACGGACACAAGGAAGACTGGAGTGGGGGATAAAGACACGGACGTTGAAATACATTATACCCAGATAAGAACTGTTGATATGGCGGAAGAGGAGAGAAGTACACAATCAGAAAGGGACATTAACCCACAGTTGGTGGACCCCCATCCCCGTAATAAGACACAGGAAAACATTAGATTGAATCCTCCCCCCGATATGATGGGTATCGGCACCATCGGAAGAGGAGGAGGTGCAAGGTCACTAACGCCACCGGAAACTAACAGCGGAAGGATAGGGAAGGGAATTCGAAGAAAAGAACGAAACGTTACAGACATATTTTGATTATCAGCTGGTCAATCAGGGCCAGTGACGCGGTCTAAGAGCCGTGCGCAGACGTTACTTGAACCCACTTAAACCACCCTTGTTGAAGCGGCCTCTTTAGCCCTGACGATGTTGGGGAGTTTCCCCCAACGAAAGCTTGGCAACTTTTTAGCATAAGTATAGTATATTTTTAGTAAAGTATTCTTACTTCAAACCCTCCCAGTGATCGTGTTTTATTTGTTTTATAATATATATATATATATATATATATATATATATATATATATATATATATATATATATATATATAACTAAGGTTACGAATATGCCAATGATATTCTTAAAATGAGGAAAATTAAAACTATGGTCAAAATATCAAAGTTATAACTTTGATATATAATCCAGGGAAATCATGGATATTTGTTTCTTCCTTCAAATTTAATTTGTTAATCTGTTTAAAATATTTAACTGGCACTACTAAATATTTAATCTGTTTAATCTGTTTAAAATATTTAATTAGAACCACCTAAAAGAGCAATGTAAAAGTAATTATTTTATGACTTTATTCCTGTTCATGGGAATAGTTTCAACCATATCTTAATATCTTATTTTCTCTGGATAATACATAAATATTTTTCTCAACTAAATATTTTCCATTGATTTTCCTAGAGGTAATTATCTTCATCCATTAGGACCTTCTTTACAATTAATATAACACAGTATTTGATTTATTCATATGGATTATATAAACAGAATATTTAACCTATAACTATGGAGTCCTTAGTGCTGTGTGAGGTTGTTTGTTTGCTTGCAGATCTTTCCTTATCAGACTAGATAATATCTTCAACACTGAAATATTACATAGTCTGGTAAGGAAAGATCTGCAAGCAAACAGCCAAGCTCAGGGAACATCAGGAGCTTCACAGTTCAACCCTGAGCTACAGCATTGTCTATTGCTACCCAATAACTGTTTAATTTCTGCAAATTTACAGAAAAAATGTGGATACTCATTAAAGATACTATTATCCATATATAACAGCAAGTTACATTCAGATTTGGGTAATGAATTTCTTGAATTTCCCCAGTTTGTCTTATTAAGCATAGTGAGGGTTTAACATGAAATTAAGGGAGATAAAGGAATCCTTGATACATGCCACTTTGCAATTTAAGTACCAGTGAGATAATCCCATTATTAATTACTTGAGCAGAGGAATTAGAATAATAAACTGGTATCTATGAAATAATTTTTGTAGGAAATCAAAACTTCTACCTTTCTTGAACTAAGACCATAATTTGCAGGACTGTATACTGAAAGCTTTTTCTGCATTCAGCAAAGCTAAAAGCGATGATATGCGTTTACTAACAAACAAAGCTAGTATGTGAACTACGTTTAATTTTATCTGGGTCATGATGTATTTATAGAATCAGATTACGTAATATTGTTTATTATAGGTAAATAAACTTCTCTAATCTTCTTGCAATGCATCTGTTAAAATCTTAGCAACAGCACTTAATAGAGATAGTAGGCTGTACTGTGCAGTGAATCGGGTCCTTATCAGCTTTCAAACTTTCAGTTATATAAGCTTCATAATAAGAAAATGACAGGGCCTCCTCTCCCACTCCCAATAAAATATTTAATATATTTTCAAAAGTATAGAGATTCATTTTTTATCACATTGTGTAGATTCTCCGTCTGGCCCAGGGGTCTTTTTGGATATTGTTATGTCAATAGTATCATAGATTTTCTGCAGTGTTAATAGATGCAACTAAATTCTCTGAATTAGGATTTCTGGATAACTTATTGCATAATTTTTTTTAAAAAAAAATCCTTGTTGTCTACAACTCTATTAGGGTGGCATAGTGGCTCAATGGTTAAGATGCTGGTCTTGTTGCCTGGAAAGCTGGCAGCCCAGGTTCAAGACCTGAGTGCCACATAATGGGGGGAGCTCCCGTACGCACCCCCGCTCCTGCCAACCTAGCAGTTTGAAAGCATGCAAATACAAGTAGATAAATAGGTACCA